AAAAAAGAAAAAGAAAAATGGAAAAAAAGAGTAGGAGAAAAAAAATAATTATTTACTTTATTTATTTATTTATTATTAATTTGTGATAGGACATGTGTGCTCACCAGAGACAGAAAGTGAGAAAGCAAGCCACCAGGTCTGGGATTTGAACCACAGTCGGCCAAATAGAAATAGAGCAAAGTCTGAACCACCACACCACTTGATGGCCCTACCAATAATTGTTTTGTTGTTGTTTTTGTTTTTTCAGAGAGAGATTTTTGCTATAGGGTACGTGTACTCACTGGAGAGAAGAGAGAGATGCAGAGACAGAAAGCGAGAAATCAATCCCCAGGAGGGATGACCACACCACAATCCCTTCTTCACTTTCCTCTCAGGATTTTGGCCATACGTACATGTGCCCAGCATGAGTTTTAAACTGCTGGGTCGAAGATTCAAACCACAGTATGGGGCTTTTTGAAGGAAACAAAAAGGAGTACCACAGGTAAAACAAGTTTGAAAATCACAGGTTTATCAGATCTCTCTAGCTCTTGCCTATTTTTAAATTATTTTGTGTTATACTTTAGCTTATAAAAATTCACATTATAGGGACCAACAGTTAGCATAATGGCTATGTCACTGGACTCCCACGTAGCCGACTGCGGTTCCAGTCCCCGACCCAGTGGCTTAAATTCATACCGGGCGCGTGTGCGTGCATGCCCAAGATCCCAAGAGGAGAACGGAAGAGAAGGGATTGTGGTGTGGCCATCCCCTCTGGGGGGTGATTTCTCACTTTCTCTCTGTCTCTCTCTGTCTGTTTGGTGAGCGCACGCGCCCTATAGTAGCAAAATCCTCTCCACAAAAAAAAAAAAAATTTCACATTATATTACAGAAATATAAATCTTTTCATAGAATGTTTCAGTCTTCTTTCTGGCACGAATATTATAATTGTGCCTTTTTGAGTTTATATTATTCTGTAGAGAGCAAAAATAGGATATAAAAGTTTAAATCTTATTTTTTTAAGGCTGTAATCAGTTCAGGGCTGAACATTATGTGCTGATGTTGGGCTTGAGTTTGAGTACTCAGTCATGTAGTTAAGAAAAGCAAAAGTTTACTTGGAAAAGTCATCCATCTAGAAAATATAGATATCAGCTACATGTGCAAGCAAAAAACCCGATATTATCACACAGAAAGTTTAAAAATTGTACCTAGCTACCTAGACAGAAGACTGGAAGGAAATATATCTAAATGTCAAGAGTAGTTATCTCTGAATATAGGAATTTCAGATGGTTTTGACTATTTTTCTTTTTGCTTGTATAGCATTCTAGTTCTCCTATAATGACTATAGTTTGTTATATAAAAGATAACCAAGAAAAAAAATCCCAAAGCTACCAGCAGGTCATTCATAGGAGGGTAGGGGGCTGGAGAGACTAACGGAACAGGCCAGGTACAAGCCCAGCGGGGGAGAGGCCTCAGCGCAGCCCCTCACTCTGACAGGCCCCGGAGGTGTGCAGACTAAGAGGAGCACTGCTCTTCCAATGGCTTCCCTGTGGGTGCCCACCCATGTGTCCTGAGGCTGCACTGCCCTTTCAACTACGGAAAGTGCAGCCTTCTGGTCAGAGCCCCACCTATGCAATCAGGTTTCCAGGGTAGGCCACTGCCCAGTCACCTGTGGGAGGGTGACCTTGAACACGTCAATTAGCCTCTCTATTCCTGTCCCTCATCTATAAAATAAGAATCACACCACCACCTACCTCCTAGTGTGGCAAGAAGACAAAGAGAGATGATTCACAGCAAGGGCCAAGCATAAAATAAGAGCACAGTAAATGTACACCATTTTTAGGGCTCCGCCTGAAATAAGAACACTCCTGAAATCATGTGACTGGGTCCCAGGACAACCAGATGAGGGTTCAAAGAATAGTCCTTTTTCCCTTCTCTGAGGAAGAACTGCAGAATGGTGTTTGTGCTAGGGAGCAAAGGAAGGACAACCACAGGCCAATTAAATATGCATCATGTCCAAAGACCCCACACTATGGGCTAGGAATTCTGCTCTCAAAAGTTACAAGATTTCTGGGACCAGCAGATGGTGTAATGGTTACATTGCTGGACTCCCACATAGTCGACCAGGGTTCAAGTCCTGGACCTGGCAGCTTGAACTCACACAGGACGCGTGTGTGTGCATGCCCAAAATCCCTAGAGGAGAATGGAGAAGGGATTGTGGTGTGGCCAACTCCCTGTGTGTGTGTGTGTGTGTTTGTGTGTGTGTGTGTGTTGGGGGGATGGTGGTGGTGGTGATTTCTCTCTTTCTGTCTTTCTGTTTCTGTCTCTTTATCTCTCCAGTGAGCGCACACCCTATAGCAAAAATTTCTCATGAAAAAAAAAGTTAGGAGATTTCTAATATCTTACCACTGCCACCGCTGCCAGCCACTACCACTGGCAAGGAGATGGGTGACTTAAGTGTGAGCTAGGACTTGGCAAGGGGACACCACAGCCTCCAGGTAGGAAACTCCGAAAGGGCCACCTGCTGAGACAGTTTGTCTCAAGCAGTCTTTGGGAGGAAGGGGGTGCTCTGCTGTTGTTGACAAATTCAGATAAGCACAATGGACATTGCAATGCCCAAAGAACTTACCATCCTGGCTCCATACCTTTAAAAAAATTGGGGCCAGAGTGCCAGGCTGAAGACATGACCACACACTTAAAAATCACTGCAGTGCCTTAACTCTATGACATGAAGAACATCCCCCAAGAAAAAGTTCAGTAGCAAATCAAGCTGCAAAGAGTTTCACGGGTAACGCAGTACATTTATACGTGAACAAACAAAAAACTTCCTTGTCAAACTTAAAATGATCCTACTCACCAAAGACATAAATAAGCCTCCTAATGTCCATCTATGAGGAAATGATCACATGATTAGATTAATTACACAGTTGGGTGTTCTGTGCTGCCTAGGGTGGCCAGTGTCTCCTGGACTGCCTGGAATGTTTCCAGTTTTAGCACCACAAACCAGGAGCCATCAGTCTCGGGCAAACCAGAATGGCTGGTCCCCTTACACAGGAAAAAAAAAAGACATATGTTGTGTGAAGAGGAAAACAGAAGAGACATAGTTACAAATGCAGAAGTGCTAAATGCTAAGTTTGTTTGTTTGTAGCAATAGCTCCAGTTCCTTCTCATAGTTAAAAAAAAAAAAAAAAAAAAAAAAGACAAAAACCCCCCCCAGCCTCTCCCTTCCCCCTTTCATTTTACTCTTCCAGAACAGAGTTAGGAAAGGGCATTTTCCTTTTCTTGGATGATGGAGAAGTCACCACAGGCTGACTGTGAAAGTTGTCACTGCCACCACCCAACAAACTCTTGTACCCAGCATTATTCACAAAACAAAATGTCTTCCTCTACCAACCCTTATGTCAGCCACATTTAAAGACAAACCAAGACAATTTGTGATTCAGGTGGTTACCCACAGCCTGAATGTGTACTGCAAATAAAAATCCAAGAGGCTGACGAACATCAGGATTCACTCCCAGGTGGGACCTTGAGCAGCAGAGGGAGGCCTGAAGAAATAAGTGGTTGCTTTACAAACAGCTGAATGAAGAGCAGGCGCCCTCCTCCACCAACTCCAATGCCACAATTCCAAGCAGGTAGCTCCCTACCCACAAGGACAGAGCAAAATACTTCCAGTAGGAGTTAATACAGAGAGTTGTTGAAGTGAGTCAGCGAGGTAAGAATCAACTTCTAAGAAACGAGCGTTTCAAACAGAAAAGGTAAGGCTATAAAAGGGCAAGAAGAGACCACACACTTCCTGGACCGAAGGCTGACAGAAACCGCTGTTGCACCCCACCCCACCCCATCCCACTCAGACCACCTCCCTGCCCAGGCTCCCTCTGGCTTTGCCCCAAGACAGACTGTCAATTTTTAAATGCTTTAGACCTTAGAACTCCCCAGGTTCTTTTTATGTATTAAAAGAGTGAACCAAAGGATAGTGGTACACCTTTCTTTGTCTCCATTGTAATGCTAGTTTGTTGGAGGAAGGTGGGAGATGTATTTAGAAACATTGTTTAAAAACAAACATCTTGCAAGGTCCTACTCTGATAAACCCTAAAGAATAACTTTTTCTTTCTTTCTAAGACTAAGAAGTGCACCTTTCCCTAGGGACCCTGGTTAAGGACAGGAAGCCTTCTTGTAACCTAACACATGCAGTGAGAAGATGAGTGTCTCACAACCTCTAGCACAAAACATGAGAACCTTCACAGCAGGAGAAAGGCGCTCTCCCTAGCTTAGCGCTACAGGCCGCTAGCTGTGGTCCTTGAGGAGGACTTGCTTCATTCTCCAGGTCTGTGTCTTCGTTTCGGATTTGAGCTAGATCATCCTTAGCAGCCTTACAACTCCAAAACCCTAGGTGAAATTCTTTCACATATGTGGTAATAACCATAGTGCCTATTAGTATCGATTGGTGCATGTCGAGGATTTAGGAATTAAGAGACAAGTAGGATAATGTATGTCAGCAAAGATGACAGGACCAAGACACATTCGACGGTGAGATTTGAATTAAGTCTCCAACAGTTGACGAAGTGTGTGACTGCAAGGTGGAGGAAAACCAAATATCAGCTTACAAACACTTCTAAATGCTCCGGGGCCCAAGGAGAACAAGAGACGACACAATTATCAGCTGCTCTTCCTGCTAAATTTAACTCTAACATCAACTGTGACTCAGTGATTCTCCTCCCCCCTCAAAGAAAAGCCTGTAACTACTTAGGGAAAAGAAATTTAAAATATTGAATCGAAAAGGCAGGAGAACCAGTCTTTGCAAATCGTTGTGATGACCGACTGCAATGAAGTTGCAGGAGGTTCTGGCTGGAGACGAACTGGGATCCGTGAAGCACCAGATGCAGCCAGCTCTCCAAGTCTGAGATGTGTAATACCAAGGAGTGACGGGATCGACCTCGGGTGTCAAAGGCAAGACTGCCTCCTCATCCACCAGGACCCCAAAACAGTGTTCATTTCACTATCCGTGAATGAAGGAAGGGGGGCGGGGGGGCATGCTGTTTCCTTTATTCATGGAAAGAGCTACAAAGAGTTTTGTCGTGAACGCTGTTGGATGCCTGTGCGTGTCAACATTCTCGGAGCCGCAAGTCCGCCAAGGTGAGGTGTTTTCATACCACGGACCTGCAGCCAAGACTGTCAATCCGATTGGGCAGACAACCTCGCCTCCCCAGACAGGACTCCAGAGGTGTCCTGTGTGCTGTCCCAGCAAGGAGAGCAACAAAGCTGATGGCGGGAGGGTAGCCCGCCCGCTGTGAGTGAAGCTCCGACCTGACTTCACCTCCTCCCGGCAGAGTCGGGCCAGAGCCCGACGGTCTCCAGTGGTCCCCATGGCGCGCCACGCACACACGGCCTCTAGGCTACTAAAAGAGGAAGTCGGGATGTCATATCAAACGGATAAAGACAGTCCGACCACAGAAGAGCCGCGGTCTGGGCCGGTCTCCGGCTTGGCTTGGGGAGGGGTCCCAGGCTGCGAGCCTTTCTCCCTCTCGGTCCATCTCCGCAGGGACAGGCTGGAGGCGCCCATGCTGCGCAGCACGGTAGGAGACGGTGG